AACCACGAACAACCAAAAAGGTGCGTGTAGACGAGGACGATGGACGACGTAACCGATGGGCGATGGTGATGGGACGCGTGCGATCGACGATGGATGCGCTAGCTCATGCGGCGGCCGTCCGGCCGGTCGATCCTTTTCTTTGACCGGCACCGGCCGGTCCGTCGTCCGTCACGTCCCAGTGGTACGTACGCGCGCGCATGATTGATGACGATGATCCGCCGGGGCCGCCGGAATCAAGGCAGCGTCAAGATCGGCCAGCTCACTCGTACGCGCTCCGATCGATCGATCCCGGCCGCACGCACGGGAGAGCCCGTACGATCGAGCGCGACGAACCACACCCACCGTCGGATTGGGACCGTTGCTGTTGCTGTAGATGCACATAGGCTGGCTGGCACGGGCCACGGCCACGCCCCGCGCGGTGGTGGCCTACCTCCCGGCTGGCGTCGTCCTGCGCCCTGCAGCAGGCCCGGCGGGCGTCCGTGCAGTGCATGCATGCATGCACGGGCGGAGCGGACCGACTCGTCAAATCCGACCGCGGTCATGTCAGGAGGGGTCGACCTGGGGCCCGGGCGCACGGAGCCGGGTGACGCAGCGGCTGCCACGGCCACAAGCGCCGCTGCCGCCACCGTGTGTGGCTCTCTTTCGGCCGACATGCCCGGGGTTCCCGCGCACGTACGGGCAGCAGAGCTCGAGGGATCGCCGGATCGATCGACGCACGCTTGGAAACGGATCGGAGCTAGCTACCAAAGTACGAAAGCTTCAAGATTCTCTGGTGTGGCTACCTACAAGCGTACGTGTACTGTATCACATACTAGTAGACTCGATCGATCTAATTCCACGGGCCGGCCGGGAAGACGTACGCAAAACTGACTCCATCCTGAGACGTTATTAAACCGCTCATATCTCTAGGAATTGTAGGTACATAGACCGAATTCCGTGTACATGATGATGATGATTTATATGAAAACAGCCACCGCTTGGTGAGATACAAGGCCAGCCTGAGTAAGGAGTTTCGTGACGCTGTTTTCAAGACTGTTATGTTATATTTAGTGAAATAAAACTTGGATGAAACACTGCCTCTTAATGCGAAGTTTCATTCTATAGTTTCATCGACACTTAATTCAATAAGTCAGAGTTAGTAATATTGCCAAAAGAGTTTCTTCTTCTCTCTTCTTAAAAACATTGTCATGTCATCGAAAATGCTTATGTGGCAAGTCTATTAAATGCAGAAGATGAAACTCACGTCAAACTCTGACTGAGAATGGCCTAAGTAGTTGCATACTCCCTAAGTTCCTTGTTACTCGTTGTTCTCATTTCTCGAGAAATCAAACGTTCTTAAAACTTTGACCTCACATATATAAAGATATTAATATTTATGATATACAATTATATCATTAGATAGATAGTTAAATCCATTCTTATAATAAACTTTATTTAGATATATAAATATTACTAATATTTTTTATAAATCTAAATAAACTTAATAAAGTTTGACCAATACAAGTATCATAGCGATACTTAAAAAGGGGACTATTTATCATGTCATCGTTATGCACTCATGAATTGTTGGGTGCGTCGTGCTCCACCAAACGCTGATTATGGTAATGGGAACAGGGACAGCATGCCGCCGTAAAGTCCATGCGAGACCCTCCCTGATCTTGCAACTACCCACCACCCACGCACGCAATGATTTGGCTGATCCCTGTACGGCTGTACGTATAGTAGCCTAGATAATGCCAATTCACTCAGGACAGTACTGTAGTACATAGTCGTGACCGGTGACCCTGATTCGCAGCACTGTTAATGTGCTCATCATTCGCTGATATTTTGCCTAAAGCCTACATATATATGTTCTTATCTCTCCATTCTACTTAACTTTTGAGGCATTTTTCCCCTTTTGGTGTCGGCTGCATATCATAAAAAACAAAACACGGTTACATTGAGTAGTAGTACCATATAGCTAGCCCTTTTTAAACTAACGGGTCCACACTAAAGCTACTACTCTACTCTCTCGGTATTCCTGTGTTAGTACTGCCTCCATTCTAAGTGATTCATTTTGGGTTTTCCAGATACATAACGTCCGTTGTATATAAATACATAATAGAAACAATGCATATAAAAAAGCTAAAACATCTTATAATTTAAAAGAGAGGAAGTAGGGTTTAGATCCTGTTAGATCCCCTGTCTAAAGTTTAGCGTTTTAGCCCTTGAGGATCCAATAAAGTTTATTAGTCAATCATACAAAAAGTAATTAGTTTATTAGACTACATGAGTAAGCTAAAGTAGTCTAAATCTAATCTTAATTTTAGCCCACTAAACTCTGGACATAGAAAACAGGGCCTTGGGGCGTCCTCGACAGGCATCCAGATCGTTAGTGGGTATTGTATTTTATTCCATTCCACGTGGACCAGAGAAAAGGTGGAAAAGGAACTCGTTAGCGACTACTCCGTAGGCAAGTACTCCCTCCGTCCCGTTAAGATTGTCGCTCGGGAAGCGGGATTGTGAGGGGGACACGGTTTTCCAACGACAAACTCAATGGGACGGAGGGAGTAGTAAGCTCGCATGTCTCCCAAGAAAACATGGGTCTCTGCCTTAGCTACTCTCTTTTTTTTTCTCTTTCTTTATTCCTTCGCATAGTCACGTCTCCGTATCCGCCATTGATTTCTTCCCACGGTTGGGGACACCCTTTTGCCCTCAGCGGGGAGTTTTCATTGTATTTGAAACAGCCGTGAAACTCATTTCATCTGATAAACTTTTATTATCTCTCTTCATCTATGAACTCTTATTCAGCCTACTCGTTTATTGGTTTCAGCCATGACTTATAAGTTATAATACAATATTTTTTTCTCACAACAAATCAACACCAGCCGGACTTATCAGCTCAGAAATCAACCAACGAACAGGCTGATTGAGACTAACCTTAGGCATAGAGGGGTTTAACACAGACGTCATCATGGCATGGATGAGTTGTTGCCGCGGTGAAGGAACCAAGCGAAGAAGAAGAAGAAGAAGAGCGCATGGGTGGGGAAAGAAATTTGGGTAGTTTGCTTTGGCCCAACAGAAATAGGTAGTGGGAGGGGGGATTTAGGTAGCCAACAAATTTGTTGCGTCTAGTAGGTAGTCTGCTGAGTAAATTTTTTGTCCTCCACTACCTAAATTGGGGATAGTAGTCCGTTTATGTAGTTTGCCGGAGATGCTATGAGGGACTAAATTCCAGATGCAAATAGCCATAGAACTGCTGGCAGGTCTTTTCGTGCCAATCTTCTATGTAACTCTGGACCCCACCCAAGTGAATCGATGTAACATTTCCGTGCTGCTCTACAGAGGCGGTAGGGGCATAGGGAGAACTACGTACACCCTCAGTCCCGTAATATTTGCACATCTAGCATTCAAAAATTTTCCCATAATATTTGCACACATTGCCTGATTGACAGATGACCAGCCGGTGGGACCACAGGCAAGTAACAGGACTACAGTAGGGATAGCACGTCCACCAGAGGTCCAGAGCGTACTACAGAGGAGATTAAAAACAAACTTGTCAAAAAAAAAAGGAAAAGAAAGACAGCGGAGCATCCAGAGGCTCCCTCGTCCACTCGTTTGTTTAACCCGTTTGGGCTTCCGTACAACGCCGCTAAGGCTCTGGATCACCTCATATCGATATTTGTAAGGGTATTTTTATACTTTTGTTTTAGCATTGATTTGCGTGCTCACTCCTAGAAGTGCATTTATTCGAGAGAGTACACTTAATACTGGAGCGCTCGTTGATTACGACAGTGCTGTGGTCGCCGTCGGTACGTACGAACGCATGGCACGGTACGGCCCAATGGCGTTCCGTACACATCCCCTGCGTGGGCCCCACACGGATACATGCCCTCCTTCCCCGATTTGGGACTCGACCGGTCCCGTCTTCTTTCTTCAACGAAAGATTCCAATTAATTAATCATGATCCAGGCATGGCTCCATGCCGCTCCAACCGTACGCCGCGTCTGCAGTCGTCGTCAGTGTGCCTCACTCACTCAGATCGAGCTGAGATCTCGCCACTGTTCCTCGCCAGCTTCCTCCCCGTTGCTCTGTCCTCTCGCGAGTCGTGCGTCTCACTCATCTCAGGAGTCAGGAATAGTCCAACTCCAGGCTGTTCGACGACCCCATACCAAAATATAATGGACCGGATCGGACCATGCAGCGACCAAATTAAGCTTTCATTCGTTCCCTACCTAGCTAGAAGCTCCAATTGCTTAGCTAATTAAGCTTGCAGATAGAAAGATACTGTAGCAATGTTATACTTGTGCGTGCAGTCTCTCTCTATAACGCACAACGATTTGGCAACATAGGTACTCAGTACATCGCTGATCGATAATTTGGTGCCACAGACAGCTAACTAGCTAAGCAATTGGAAGCCATGTTCGGCTGCTTATATAAGCCGGTTTATTAGTCATGGTATAATATTTTTCTCTCTTAATAAACCAGCCGTACAAATCAACACAAGCGACTTATAGATCAGCCGAACAAGCTAATATTGGTGCGTAATTTCCACTAGCGTAGACGCTTCGTTATTCTCCTTGACAAATTAATGGGACAATGCAAAGGATTGGATGATAGTCCAAATATACTTACCGTCACAGTCCTAACTTTATTATGTGTCCTTTAATTGCTGTTCGTCCAACAGTGCTCACTGCTCAGTGCATGGCTCCCGCGAACCAACAGCCATGAGGCGTCCACAGCAACTGCACACGCGCACAGTGCTGCCAGGACGAGGCAGGCATTATTGATCAAATCATGAGCTTAACATAGTAGCTGGCCTCTTGAAGTGACTTGTTGCGACCCAGGCCGGTGCCCCCATCATGCGCTGCCTATATATAAGGGCGAAGGGCCACCGTGGTTCATCATCCAATTCCACATCGCATAATCGCTCAGCTCGATCGATCTTCACATGCATACATTAATTCTTTGGCTAATTCGCAACAACTAACTGGTTGGGATAGTATAACACGATGGACCAAATGGGCAAGCACCTGCAGATGGCTTCCATGACGAGCGGCGGCTGCCAGTCGTCGTCGTCGTCGTCGTCTTCTTCTTCTTCTTCTTCTTCTTCTTCGCAGCAGCAGCAGCAGCAGTACCGGGGCGTGCGGAAGCGGAAGTGGGGCAAGTGGGTGTCGGAGATCCGGCAGCCGGGCACCAAGACGCGCATCTGGCTCGGCAGCTTCGAGTCGGCCGAGATGGCCGCGGTGGCGCACGACGTGGCCGCGCTGCGCCTGCGGGGCCGCGACGCGCAGCTCAACTTCCCCGGGTGCATCGCCTGGCTGCCCCGCCCCGCGACCTCGCACCCGCCCGACGTCCGCGCCGCGGCGGCCGAGGCCGCCGACCGGGTGCGCTGCGACCCGGCGCTGCTGCTGCTGCAGCAAGTGCAGGTGCAGGCGGCGCGGTGCCACGACCACGACGAGTTCGGAGCCGGGCCGGTGGTGGTCGAGCTCGGGAGCGACGAGGAGTTCGAGCTGGACCTGGACTCGCCCATGCTGTGGGCCGAGATGGCGGAGGCCATGCTCCTGGACCCACCGGGCTGGGCCACCGGCGTCGGCGAGGCGGAGGTGGCCCAGTGCTGGTCACACGGCTCCCTCTGGGACGCCTGCTAGCTCACTCGGGTGCCTTGGCTTTTTGGCTGCAAGTGTTTGGCCATGGCCAATGGCCACCAGACGCTGCTTAACCTCACAAGTGTCGCAATGCTTTTGGTGTGTGCCACTGTGAGAGCGTCTCTATTGATTCTCCCGTGTGGTTTCGTTTAATTTGCTGCTGCTGTTGGGCTTGCCGTTTTCGTTCCTGTTATCATCTTAGAGCAGCTCCAAGTGTTTATTAAATTGTCTTCCTAAAAACACCATATTTCCCACTCCAATAGTACCTAATATTCCACTCTAAAAAAATAAAATTTGGTCCCTGGTTTTTTTCCGGAATTTTCTTCGACGCCGCCACCGCTCCTCCTTCCTTTGTCGTGCCCTAGCGCACTGCAGTCCCCGCCGGCGGTGGCCACGTCCCAGCTGGCCGTAGCCACATCCCAGCTCGGGCTCGGACGACACGACAGCGGCGGTGCTGACGTGCCTCACATTCCTAGAGCAGAAGATAGGGCACCTCCGCGGCATCATCGGCGCGGCGCCACGGCAGATGGTGTCGGCCGAGCTCAGCTGCATCCCCGTGCAGCTCGTCTCCATCTCAAAGAGCCTCGCCGCGACCGGCGGTGCGGTGGACCCGGGCGACGGCGCCACGCGGTCGTTCGACCATGACCCCCTCAGGCCCTCATGCCGAGGACGAGGACAGCGACAGCGACGACCGCATGCCACCGGCCAGTTCCTACGAGGTGATTGAGCTCGGTAGGGAGGAGATCCTGGCGCCGCACGTGCACTCGTGCAAGGTCTGCAGCAAGGGCTTCAAGCGCGTTCCCATGCACATGTGTGCCCACGGCAAGTACAAGACGGCGGCCACGCTAGCCAAGAAGCCCGCCTCCGCACCGTCGTCCTCGGTGGGCCGGTGCGTCTACTCATGCACCGAAGCTTCCAGCCGCTCAAGACGGCCGTCTACGTCAAGACCGTGGCCACATCCTAGCTGATCGATGGATACCTCCTCCAGACAACACCGGCGGCAAAGATCTCCTGTGGACGGCGGGTCGGCGGCACGAGAAGGCGCCAAGGGAAGAAGAAGAGACCACGCAGGAGGAGAGGATACGCGCGATGAGAGCAGCGTGTAACTTTATGCGGGTTGGGGCGGTTTTAAGCAAGTGCTAAAAGAGTAGAGGATGGATTAGGAGTTGTTGGAGGGTTTTTTTTCAATCTTGCTAAAAAATAAGGATTAGGAGAAGATCTAGGATACTCTTGGAGATGCTCTTACCTGTATTAGTATTAGGCAAAATGATGACACTCAAGATCATTTCAAAACAAAAATTAATAGTACTGATATTATGGTTTGGTCTATTCCTGCTTTTGTACTAATGGAGATGACCGTGCTTGTAAGTACTCCTTTTTAGAGGTGCTTGTAAGTACTCACAAAAAAATGATCTTGTATTTTAGTATTTTATAAACATGTATGGTGATTTTTGTAGACAGACATATTATCTATTATGAGAACCGTGCTGGTATCAAGACGACTATATTTCCTCCGTCTCAAAATAATTGATCTTCTAGCTTTGCCCTAAGTCAAATTATTTTAAATTTAACTAAATTATAGGAAAGAATATAAACCTTTTATGGCACCAAATGGGACTTAGATATAATATGAAAATATATTTCTTAATAAATCTAATGATACATACTTGATATATTACATGCTAGTACTTTTTTATATAAATTTAGTTAAATTTGGAATGGTTTGACTTTGAATAAAGTTAGAACATCTATGGATTATTTTTTTAGACTGAGAGAGTATGTTTAGATGAAAACAGAAAGCGACTCTTCTATATATTTATCTATGACATTAAGACGAATTCCTGTGGTCGCCTTGTATGTTTTTTCACCGGCGCAATGTAATCGTTTGATTATTGGGGTGTGGGTTCGTGTGTGTGGTGTTTGTGGGGTTGTTTGGCCTCTTGCCCCTTTTCTCTTTTTAATATAATGATGTGCAGCTTTCTGTGTTTTTGAGAAAAAAATGAACTCATGTGGTTATCTCCTTACCTTACCTAGTCTGTACCTATACCATACTACCCACATCAGAATATAGGACAACATAAACACACGCATAATGAAGAGTGTTTGGTTTGTGTAATTGTGTCGTGCTTTATGAGGTGGTCCATCATGAATTCATTCTATAAATTTTGGTGGAATCAACTTATTCCTCATGCATATACTAATTATTAGCTTGTGGGGAATGAGATGATGATGGATAAACTCATTCTATTCCACAAACCAAACAAAAAAGTGAAGAGTAAGAAGAAGATGACCACCTCATTTCTCAAACTAAACACACGCATAGTGATTTAGCCACAACGGCAGGGACTACTTTTGGTGCAGGAAGATAACTGCTGCTAAAATCTGAATCAATCATATGCAGTGAGCTAGTTGTTCTAAAATAAGGCAGTATATGTCGTTCCATTTTGTAAAAAAGGCCATAACAAAAGTTGTTGGACCCAAATACAAATTGACTAGGTAACATGTATGACAAACTGCACGATGGGTGTTGAATGCACATGAGCAGTCAACGTGCATTACACAAAATGTCATGTAGTATTGATCTTATATTAGGGAGAACCAATCTTTCAAAAGGGGGTTGGGGCTAGTAGGCTATAGAGTTATCGATTCCCTTTTTAACGGAAAGGGTCATGTATACATAATAACTCCAAGAGCTTCTCTAAACTTCAATCTCTATATCTTTATTTAAGAGTCATTCCATAAATATTCTCATCATATATCTTTTATGTCTCCAACGGACTCTCTAAGTTTAATTTTTGTGGCAGAACCACTCGAAATAACACGCTTTCGGAGGCGCTCGTCTTCCACTAGACGTTAAGCACCCCGAAAGTTAGCTACATCGGACAGTTCCGTTGAGCACACCCAAGGAAGAACTCGAAACAATCCACGTTTTACCGCCAGGATCCAATAATGAGTACGAGCTTATAACACTTAGTCCATTTCATACAACAAGAGTTCTTGGAAATTATTTATTACAATACCAGAGTTCAGGATGCAATAATTAAACAGCAGAATCAAAATAAACATCTAGCGGAAATGATACAAGGATTCGTCTATGCCCACCAGAATAATCCTCCACACAAGAGCTACTCCTCAAGCTGCACCTACAACAGGGGTAAAATAAACTCTGAGCACACAATGTACTCACAAGACTTACCCGACTAATGGGAATAGTTTCCCGACTCTCAAGGATATGATAGGCAATATGGGTTTGCTGTTTTCTTTTTATTTGCGGAAAGCATTACTAATTTTCATCCTTACAGTCGAGTTTTCTTAGTAGTCATGATTACTTCATTAGCTAACCATTCTAGGTAAGTACATATTCTACTTTCAAGCAAGGGTTAAGCAATCAGAACTATTTCATCATCTTTCATCTTTTAGGTTTTACTATGGTGCTAAACCATAGCCAAGTCGTACCGTCTCACGAAAACAACGATTCGTGAACCAATATATCCTAACTGGGTACCCTGAAACATACACCCCGTTTGTACCCCAGGCACAAACAAGACCAACCTATTCTACTCCTGTCACGGGGTCTAGGTCTCCGTCCAAACTTGGACTCCAAGCCCCCACGCTTGAGACCCGGTATTAATATGGTGCTTAGACCTCCACCTTTCTCCGCCTCCAATCAGTCGGTCCAGAAAGAGCCGAAACCCACGACAAGAGCGTAACGAGCCTTTCCACTCCCATAAGCAAGTATGCGCTCAGAATAATAAGTCTGTGACCTGACTACCATCCACAGCAACGGACGATCCTTAATCGATATGAACAGGGAAAATAGTGTAACCAAGCTAAATCCCATTGGCTACGGGACACAACCTGTTACACCCATCAATACCCATACCATATCCCTGTCCTGCCTTCATTTTTTCTTTTATCATTTTATTATGAGAGTAATAATAATCTCCTATTGTGATCAACGACAGGTTACTAACGCTATCGATGACCTAAGCATAGCATGTACTCGAACCTGCACTAGTAAGACTCTTAGGATAGGTGTATCTATGCATGTGGTTTTCATAAAATTTCTGTAACATAAATGCACAACACATATATATACGGTGAATTATAAAATAGAGGTGATGCACCGAGGCTTGCCTTGGGCAAGCGCGATGTCAACTGAGTCAGTCAGTGGCGGCTTCGGGACATCCTCCTGCACGAGAATCTCCTTCTCATACTCCTCGATGATCTCCTCAAACTTGTGATCGCCGGTGGTCACGATCTCCGCTAACTCGTTCTCTACATGCATGCGACGATGATGCAACACTTAGCATTTAGGCAACAACAATTCTTATACTAAGAATACATATACTAAGCTACTAAGCTAGCTCTAATGACTAAGGTACTAAGCTAACTATCATCTTTACCAAGCAAAGTGTTATGTTCAACTAACAAACACCTAGTTTTACAAATGAAGGATATATCTTTATTTCTATTAATGATTTAATGTATATTAAAACAAAGAGCATTTAACTACCCTAATGCTTAGTCTATTCTAAAGCTACAAAAATTATAGTGAGCACATAATAATACAATGAAGCTACTATAAAAATTTTAAGACTAAAGCTATCACCAATTTACCAAAAAAAATCATACAATAATTAACTTAATATTATTATGCATCCTCAAATAATTTAATAGCCCCTAATGTCAACACATGTAAACATTAACTAAATACACCAACAGATAGAGCATAATTTTAGGAACCTAACAAAATTTGTTTCACAATTTTTGGACACCTACATGATTTTATATTAATTATCAAAGATCAGCTAAGAAATTAAATTAGAAAACCATTTCTAATTCCTTATGAAAACAAAAAGTGAATCGCTCTGCGCGGCCCACACGCGCGGCCCGCGTGACCCAGCGCGCACGCGCAGCGGCCCACGAAGCGGCCCACACGCGAGATGGCCCGCGGTGGGGGAATCCAGCGCACGCTGGCGCTTTTGTAAAATAGACCTCGC